AAAATTAATTTCTCTTATATATATATATATATATATATTGCGTCATATTTTTATTAAACCTAAGACTCGAATTTGAGACATTGAGATTTGATAACGATCCACAACACCTTTTATATAAAGGGAGGAAGAGGAGGAAGAGGAGGAAGAGTTCAATTTCCTATAGTATCAACTTCTCTCCTCAAATATGCTCCACAGATGTTTAAGTAGCTTCTAAAGCTTGATTTCAACTTCTAGGAAGGATATGGAAGCATCCAGAAGAATCTAGCGAAGAAATTGTCTCCCTAGTCCCAAAGCTCTCATCTCTAACTTCTCTTTATAGTTTTTGGTAAATGAAACTTATGAAGTTTTAGTTTCCAAAAACCTATATTTCTTTTCTTTTTTGGTCCAATTGAACTCAACTTATACTGTGACTCTACAATTCAACCCTTAAGGTCTCTTAACCCTCATAGTCTTATTAAACTGTTGAAAACACAACATACAACATGCATCAAAATATTAACTCCTATATATTAAACATGAACATCTTTCTTGAGTAATAGTATTTTTAGGGACTTTTCTTTTTCTAAAAGATTTTTAAGAATTCTTTTAATTTCTTATCTAATTCAATTTTTAGTTATCATGATTATATATGAAATAAATTTTAACATTTTAAAAATAAATATTGGTAAATAAAGATGTCTCGGTGGGTCAAGGAGAGAAGATTTTTATAAATTATCCTTAGCCTAAATTCTCAATCGATGTAAGACTTTTAAATATACCAGAACAATTATAAATCTAAATATAATTTATATGTTTAAAAATATCTATTTATATAATTTTTAAATATATGTTATATTCAAACACAATATTTATTGTTATATATAATTTATTATAAATTTTAATTATATATAATAAACATTTGACTTATGCATTTAACTTAATTATGCATAATTGAGTGTAATATATTGAGATAAATATGCAACATCAACTAAATTTAATGTGATATTTGATTAATAAGAACAATAGAAGGTGAATTTTTTGTGACAAAAAGATGAGTTTTCTTTTACATATTCACTAATGAAATTGGAGTAGATGAACTAAAATAAGATTTTTCTTTTCAAATTACAGGGACTATAAATCAATTTTATTTAAGTTTTGGAGGATGATTCAAATAAGAAATTTCTTAATATAAAAAAATAAGAACTATTAATAATAATCATTAGATTAAAATAGATAGGTGGGATTAAAAGACAAAAAAACAAAATTAGTATGTACTCTCATAATTATATAATTGTTATCACAACTTTCATCGTTACTACAACTATCATTGTCTCTAATATCATCACCGTCATTATCACCACTACCACCATTGTTGTCATTGTCACTGTTGCCACCATCGATTTCAATGATGGTAGTGACAATGACAACGATAGCAAAAGGATGACAAAGACAACAGTAATAATGACAATAACAATAATGACAACAACGATAGAAATAATGGTGACAACGGTCAACGGCGGTGCAATCACCACAACCATCACCACGACAATTTTTTAGGTGGAATAAAATAGCAAGATTCATCACGAATGTATTTTAAGAAAATTGTAATCATAACTTGTTAATATAGCGCAATTAAAAAAATGAGTGTAAGTTAATAAGTCACTCTCTCACACATAATAGTTTTATATAAAAAATTTATAGAGTGAAAGAAATGTTTTTATTATGAGAAATATAATTATATAATAGTCTTTATATTAAAATTAATGAATTGAGATGAATTTTACATTTTCAACTTAAAAAAAAAAAGTAAAGGATTAAAGGTTGCCCTTATAAATTTTTCTTGATTAATGGTAAATTTCCTGGTAGTGGTGGTGGCAATCATATTTAGTGACTTGGGCAAAGTAAAAAAAAAAATATTTTTATAATTATTTGAAAACTACTTATGTGCTCGGTTATCAAATTTAAAAGTGTAAAATAAATAAATAATTAAATACACAGTTGTTTAAAAAATGACTAAATATATAACACATTCATATGAGATTATGAATTATCATTATAGATCATTACACATTAAAAAATGAATCAATAATTATGACACATCACAAAGATGGCTAAAATTTAAAACATAAAGAGAATTAAAGAAATTAGAAACACAGATAAGCTAAATTTGAACTCACATTACATTAGGAAATTTCAATCCCTGTCACACCCATTTATCTAAAAGACTCATATTAAACCATCCCACATTTTTTACACCAAAACCACCTTTTTTAATTGGTTTGCACACTTGCTCCTACTTTACCCAACAAATTATAGAAGACTCCTTCACTCCATTCCATAAAAAATATCATTGAATCTTCACCACTTCTTTTATGATCCTCGGTGGCATCCTCCAAAATGATAAATAATGCAATGGAAGAGTATTAAAGACGACATTAATAAGAGTCACCCTTCTATCCATTGAAATATATTTGTGTTCCCATGAAGCCAATTTACTACATAAAACCTCTAACATATGTTGCCATGCCGCCTTGCACCTAGGCTTATCTCCGTTAAGAAGAGTCACCCTCCAATAATTGAATAAGATTTAATGTGTTACTCAATTTTAACTTCAAATTATATCATAAATATCACGTGTTATACTTTTAAAAATATATCAATTTTAATAAACAATTTTAAAGCACGAGTTAAGAAATTAATATTTTTAAAATTAAAGAACAATAAACAGAGTATTGTATGTAATTCGAAAATAAAAGATAAACATGTATATAATTAACCAAATATGAATTTGCTATTATTTTTTCTCTATCTTACTTTAATCAATGATATTATTCTAAGAGGTATGAGTGATCTTTAAAAATTAAAAGAAATATGTGTGTCATTTAAATAGACATCAAAAAAGATAAATTCTATTTCTCCTAAAATAACATTTTTTTTTGTGTACCTTCAATAATAAAACTCTCAACGGCTGCCTCACCAATTCGTGCTCAAGGCCACAACGATGGTTTTATTTTGTTTTTTTTTTATAAATATCTCTCGTGAATAGATAGAGACTAATTTCTCCCGTAAAATACATTTAAAGAATAAATATGCACAGAATTAAAAGTGCAAATAATATAATTTCACGATAAGAAACTTTTATTTTATTTGTATCATATGAGATACATGTGTCATGTCGTCTATTTTGGAATAGCGATATACATATCTGATATCTGATATCTGATCAGTTGTGAAGAGGGTTTGGTCCAGTGGGAACTAGCCGATTCACATTTTCTTGCTTTTTCTTAAAATTATTAATCTTCCTGGAATTCAAAGAGGAGAGAATAGCA